GATTTGCCCACAGAATGGGCACCTTGGAGAGCAGTAGTGCCTCCAGGGCAGGCGCCTGATGGAGCCCTGCAGGTCCCCAATGCTCCGGGCCCTAGCCTGCCTGTTAGGCTCAGATCCTGAATGCCCAGCCTTTCACACCTTGGGCTTTTGCACCTTCCTTGGGCTCCTTACCCCCCAGCTATCTCCGCCCTTGCACTTTCACTGCGCAGCCATCCTTGCTGTGCTTGGCTCTTCCAGAGTCCTGGCTGAGCTGTCTCAGGGAGACTGCTCTGTGCTCTGGGGGTCCGGTCTCCCAAGAACACTTTGCACTGCTGCTCAGCTTCCACCCCAATCCCAGGTCTGTCTCTGCTTCACGAGCTAAGTTTCTCAAGAGGGCCCAGCAGGAGATCACGGAGGCTTCCTGTGTGGCCCGGGGCCTTCCCGGTGGATGTGAGCCTGGCACACATTCCTGCCCCTCTTTCCCAAGCCGTGACATACTCTTAGCTTCTCTCTTAAGATCCACTTAATAGCACTTGGCACCAAAGCAAGTACCCAATAAACGCTGCTATTATTTTATGGGTCTCCAGGAAGCTAGTTTGAGTCAATCCACAGTGTATTGAGAGGAAATTTATTTCCTCACTGTTTCCCTCAGCGGAACTTAAGAGCAGAAAGTTATCTGGCAATGCTTTGCCCAGTGACCTAGTGACGGAGACTGGGAAGCAGCAGTGTGGGCCCCAATGGGGCTTTGAGTTTTAAGGGCTGTGGCTGAATCCCTACAAGGCCCACTGGCACTTTCAGCCCAGGGGGCCAATCCTCCCTGGCGGGCCAGAGGGGTGAGGAATCGGGTGTGGATAGGACGGCAGCCTGCAAGGTCCCAGCCAGCTCCTGTCACCCCCTTACCTCAGTGGAACCTTCTAGTTCTAGCCCTGCAACTCCCACAGAGGTGAGAAGATCTGGAAGTCAGGACTGGGCAGTGAGGAGCCCTTTCTGCTGCCTTCTCATGGGCATGGCTTCCTGGGAGACATCCACTCCCTCCTTGCCAGGCTCCCAGCCCATCACTGCAGTCCCCGAGCTGCTGCAGACCCTCACTGTAGCCTTGTAACACAGCCACCTCCTCCTCTGACAGGAAGCTCCTCCGCTCCTCCATTTTCCTTTGTCTCCCAGCCTCGCTTCTGCTCAGCCTCAAGGGCAGCCTTGGGGACTTCTGCCTCCCTTCACAATGGGCCGCCAGGATCTACCACTCTACTACTCACTCCCCAGACTTATCTCTAAACATGTGGAAATGTGATCCAAGGGCTTTCTGTTGCCAAGCAGCTGGTGGCTTCCTTAACTCTGCAACGGCTGATGGGTGGGTGATGTGGAGGCTGCAGAGTTACAAAAACTCCCCCAGGTCTGGGTGTCACCTGGACCAGGCATGGCCTGACTCTGGAGGGACATGCTTCACCCCCATCCACACTCTACTCTTACACTGCTGAGGCACTGGCCCACCCAGGACACCAACACACATACATGTGAGCCAGATTCCTCCCCTGCTCACGCATACCACCACCCACCTGTCACCCCACAATCACACCCCAAACAGACTTATAAAGATAACAGGGTTTCCCATTTGCAAACCTTCAACAGGCATAGACAAAGACAGGGTTCCCATAGGCAGCAGAAATTCTCCACTCACACCTGCCATCACTTACAGCCTACCCTCACTGCACACGCACACTGGGGATCACAGACACAAAGGTAACCCTTAATCTGCCCTCCCAATCTGAGCTCTGACAGGGACAAGTTGCTCAGCTCTTATGATACCCACTGGCAGCTCACATAAGGGCGATCCTCTCTGCCACTCACAGAGACACACACAGGTGAGCTCTGTACACACACAGGCCTCTGCATAAATGCCCAAGCCTAGTTTCCTGTTTCTCCCCTCCCCCCACTCCTGGTCCAAGCTCTTCTGGGGAAGCAGCTGGGGTCACAGATCCCGCCTTCCCTGGAGGTAGCACCCAGCACGCCCACCAACCATCCCAGCTGGTGCCAGTGCAATCTCCCGAAACCTCAGGGAGTACGGTAATGGCTGGTGCTGATTTGCCAGTATCGTGGCATCGTGACAGTCTCAGGTACAGCGGGAGTTGGGTCACTGTCTTGGCAAAACCAGCTTGTGCTGGATTGGCTTGAGGCAGCACATCTCTCTTGAGTTTATTCCTCTGGTCTCAGGTCTGATCCGGACCTGTGGCTTTTCCTTACCTAGCAGTAGGGAGATACTCCGGCATTGTGATACACAAGTTGATCCCTCTCAAGCCCAGAGTTTATGGGCCCAGACTCCCAGGAAAAAGCCCCAGGAGTGGGTGGGAAAAAGTGGACAAGTCAGCGCTGGATCTTGGAATAGGACTCTGACCTGCTTGAAAGAGACTGTTCTAGCATGATTTTACCTGCCCAAAAGGTTCCCCACTGCTGGCTACCCCACCTTAGAGCCCTATTCTTTGCAATTTGAAGGCTTATCTGTCACCTTCCTGGCCAGATATCTCTGCCCTAGCTCCTCCAGGGGCCATCATACCACATGAAATCTGTTCCTCAGGTTTTTTTGTGGACTGAAAAGCCAAAGGGTAGTGTGTATTGGATAAAGCTAGATGCTCAAAAGATGTGATCAGGAATCTTCTTTCCTACACATATGTGCTTCTCTCTTAAGGACTCTCTTCTTAAATTTCCCATAGTGGTGAGTTTGAGGCCAGCCTGGGTGACCTATGAGATCCTGTGTCAAGCTATAGAAAGAAGATGAAAAGACAGAGAGAAACAGAGACAAAGAGAAAGAAAGAGACAGAGAGAAAGAAAGAAAAAAAGAGACTGAGTTCCACCCCAAGTCCAAAGTTGTGTCCAAAGCCCCAGGCCTAATTCTCCCCAACCAGCACCAGCTTCTATGCCCGCTGGGGACTTGGAGAGCAGACCAGTCCACCAAAGCACCTGGATGCTCCCGAGGAAAGTTAAGGCCACTTCTGTAGAAGAATGTGACTGGCAGAGCAATGTTCACTGGAGCTGTGGTCCTCAAGCGTCCACAGGCACACAGATCTCTTGGGGCTCTTGTTAAAAAGCAGGTTCTAGCTCAGCAAGTCTGAAATGCGGCCCAGAGCCAGCATTTCTGACCAGCTCCCGGGGACGCCCTGGCTGCCCTACCAGGAACCACACTCGGGTAGCAAGGGCCCTGCGCACTCAGTACCTCACTCCAAACAGGCTTTGTGTTTGTGCAGTGAGGGAGGGGAAACTGAGGTGCTGATGGGACTCGATGCCCCTCAGTTCTTTCTGCATCCCTGGGCCCAGCTGTGCCTCTTGGGTTGCCGTCTTCCTCATTTCTGTCTTGTGAAGGAGAAAACAGAAACTTTCTTGAGTCACACCTACATCAAGGGCTGAGCTGCTCTGCAGGACAGGGCGGCTCTCCTCAGCCAACCCCTTCTTCCGCAGAGAGAGGACAGGGGATATCATACTCCTTCCCAGAACCCCTCCTACTTTGGAAAAATGTGTGGAAGGGCTGCTGAGACAAAGAGAAAAAAGGGACCATCACACTGAGGTAACACTTTTCCAGCAGAGGAAATTCCCAGGTTGCCAAGCAGAGAGTGGTGTCAGCCCATGAAGTTTTTACAGCAAGCATAAACCCAGGTAACCTCCTGGCTCTGCTGTTTGGAAATCAATGCTGCAAAGGCCAAAGGTCATCTGGGAGCCCCCCCCCCCAGCCGCCCCGCTTCCCCCAGGATTATTTTTAACATTCTGGCCCATATCAGTTTGTACTTTCATGCCATCTAGGTGGTTTCAATAACAGATAAGGCTCACCCAGGGCAGGGCCAGTCACAGCCAGGTTCCAAGAAAAGAAATTGGTTTCCCTGGCCCCTGGCACTGCCGCACAGGGACAGGCTGGACATTTGTGAGTGTTTTTAGGGAGACTTCCTGGTCACCTATGGGCTGGCACAAGAGAACAATCACTCAGGTGATTCCAATATAGGATGGGGTCCTGGAGGGAAAGCTGGTTCCCCACTGTTCTGGGTGGAATTGTTGGCCCCCAGAACTCAGAGCGTGACCTTATTTGGACATTGGGCCTTGGCAGATGTGATTAGTAGTCAAAATGGGTACAGTGGGTCCCTGACCCAATAGACTGATATTCTTAAAAGAAGAGAAATATAGACACACACACACACACACACACACACACACACACAAACACAAACACACTTCAGTGTGCAAAGAGGAAGGCAGAGAGGTTAGGGTGATATAAGCATCCCCTTAATAGTTATTTTCAGCAATAGAAGCCAAATATAGAAAAATCTGCTGGCACCACACCAGAAGCTCACAATGAAAGATCTGGACAGAGTTCCCAGCACGGCCACCTTGATTTCAGCTTTCAGAACTGTGTAGGCCACTCAGTCAGGACCTTTGTTCTTGTTCCAGCTCTGGTTTGAAAGTCCAAGAGTCATACAATTTAACACTTAATTGGGAATGAAACTGTAAGTTGTTTGCAGGTTGGGATGTGCCACCTGGGCTTTTTCCTCTGGCCTGGGAATTCTGGGCCTATTTAGTCACTCAGGCCACAAACCTTTATTTAGCTCCTATTCCTAGTCAGCCATTGGACCGGCCCAGGATTAAAGTAGATACCAATTAGTAGAGTGCAGGTGGCTTCGCCCATGCACACCCCTCAGAAGTCCCCTCACAGGATCCATGCTCTGGCAGCAGGAGCCACGGCCCAGGGTGGAGCAGCTGCACCTCTGGACCAGCCCGGGGCAATGGAGTTCATGGAAACTTCAGCAAAAAGAGGTCAGAAGGTGCTAACCATGACCTTTTCCAATCAGAAAATGGTTTCCTGCCATGGCTGAGGTTGAGCCTCATGCAGGAGCTCTAGGAAGCCCAGGATTTGGGGTCCAGGATGAACCCTGGACTGGTAGGAGAACCAGGGTCACCCAGAGCCCCTCTCCTCTGCCAGCTTCCCTCTGGCCTGCATGACATTTTGGGACTGTTAGGGTTTTTTTGGCACAATAGAGAAGCAAAAGGAAAGAGAAAGTGGCCTTTATTGAGGACGTGGAGAGGAGCCCACAACCTGTGGGGGTCTGGCTTTCTCCTCCAACCGGATACAGATGTCAGAAGCGGTGCATGGCGCAGGCACTGATGACTTGCGAGGAACTGACTGGAATTCTCTTCACACGCAGGAAAGGAAATTGTAATCAGGGCTGAAGGGGAAAAAGGAGGAAGTGGTTGTCAGGGTGTTTTTGCTTTGGCCTTCTGCCATGTTAGACCACTACCATAATGTATAGTAATCTATACTAGGGCACCCAGGTGTGGTGGTGCACTCCTGTAATCCTAGCTCTCTGAAGGCTGAGGCAGGAGGATCTTTGCAAGTTCGAGACCAGCCTGGGCTACAAAGTGAGCCCAAGGACAGCCTGAACTGCATAGCGAGACCCTGTCTCAAAAAGACAAAAAAAAAAAAAAAAAAAAAAAAATCTACACTAGGGCAAGAACCTTTCAGGGACCTGTTTACTGCAACTGGCAGCCTGGCAGAGGCCCCACTGGCTAGAAAGGGCACGTAATCTTTCCAGTGTCTCCATGGATATCACAGTCACACAGGACCAGCCTGCCCCCCCCCCCGCTGCCTGCACCCCCCCCCAGTCATGTTAACTGAGTGGGCACACAGGGATGAGCCAGGCACAGGACAAGAAAACTCCCACCAAATCACACCCCTTGGCACACGCAAAGCCCCGCCCACACTGCTTCAGTGCCTGGTTCCTGCCTTCCCATCAGCGCTCTAACCATATCGTCCTCTACGCAGATTCCAGACAGACTTTGGTCCCCCAAGCTCCTGCCACAGCCCTACGCCCCACGAGTCTTCCCTGCCACCTTTCTGTCTTTTTCCATGGAGGCAAAATTCATGGGCTCGAACCTGACTCTGGCACTGCCAGCCATGCGGCCTTTGTCGAATTCCTCACCATCATGTCAGATTCCTTCGCCATAAAAGGAAAACAGCTAACACGTGACCCCATCCATCGAGTTTTGAGGTGGTTTGCATCACATTCTTGGCATAGAGGGGCCATTAGCAAGCGAAGGTGTCAGCTCTGCCTTTACGGTAGTGGCAATGAATACCCCTGACTGGTATACAGAACAAGAGGCTTATTCTGCCACCAAGAGACACATTCCAATGCATTACAAAGCTGGGAGACATGACGACAATTTTACCTGCTTTCTTGTGATTTTTCAGCCTATGACTTTCCGTGGAGGAATTTGCATCAATACAATCGATTCGTTCACTTTACAAACACGTACTGAGCACCTGCTAAGGAGGTGACGTGTTTCTGGCAGTCCCAAGAGCAGGGATCTGATGTGGGAGATGAGGCTGGAAGACTGCTCCTGGTGGCTTCCAAGGCTCGTATCATCAAAGTGCCTGTCGTGCGTTGCCAAGACGATGGCAGCTTCTTTGCCCATCTCTCTATGTGTTGGACTTGGTACAGCCTGGAGGTGATGGCCAAGGAGGTAAGGCGGGATTGGCTTGTGCCCAGGAACTTGGATCAGTGTGAGGGTTTGAGTTCCAGCCTTACCTCTTCAGTTAGCCTCCTAGAGCCTCCACCTACTCCTCTGCTATCTGAGCATAGTGATAGCTGGCTGAGCGTTCTCAGGGCTGCTGTCAGCTCAAGTGTATGAAAACAAGCCTCTTGACAACTGTATTTCCCCATTCACTCATCCCTTATGGATCCCCCCAACCATCCAGCGTTAGTCTGTCTACTATCTTTTAAGAACCATAAAGGAGTCAGGGGCACTGGGGAACTCAGACAGACACCGGCAAATGCTGACTACCAGAGCTCAATAGCCAGAAGACCTCAGACTACCATCTCAGCCAACATCAGGTGTAGTGGTTGGGGTCAGGGGGCAGGAGCCACTGGACAAGTTCCTGGGAGTGGCTGACCCTTTCTCAGTCCAGCTGAGATGACCGGAGGCCCCGCTGGTCTAGGCTAGAATAGTCCAACCTCGAGGTGTGTGTCCAAGTAGACCTCTCGTCCTCCCTGGATTCCAGACAGCCTGCCTGGCCTTTCCTGCTGAGCTCATGACCCTCTGATTCCTGTTTCCAGACAGGAGATGGGCTCTATAGCAAAGGTCGGGTGTAGAGGGGTATGGGGTATATTACCTAGGCAGTTACCAGAATTTATCACTGAATCCACGCTAATGGCCTCTGCCCAGCACCTTGCTGTGACAGTATGAGGCAGAGGTGTCAGGGATTGAGGACTGAGGCAACGGGAGTGAATGTGAAAATTCAGGGATCTCATTTTTTCTCAATTAAAATGTCTTGCTTTGGGCTGGGGGCATAGTTCAGTGATAAAGCATTTGCCAAATATGTACAAGATCCTGGGTTTGAGTCCTAGCACTGTGGGGAAGAGGGGGAAAAGAATATCCTTAGCAAACCAAATGTAAACCTTACCCCAAATGGCTGTAACCACACAGATCAAATTATCTTACTAGTAAGAGGGTCTCGGATTGGGTGCTCCATGGGTGGTTAACCCAAGACCCAACAGCTTCCATGTTCTTCCCAGTCAGCCATCTTTGAATGCTCCTCTGCCTTCTCAGGTGAATGTTCTCATGGTGAAAGAATGACTGCCATGGACCCAGCCTCAGTTTCTTCTACCAGGACCCAACAGTGTCCGGTAGTAAAAGGGGGCATCTCTTAAGAGCCTCATTTTGAGACCCAAAACCAAAATCAAGCCAACCAATAAACAAAACCCTCTCCCAGAACACATGCTCCCACATTCCTCCCAGCTCCTTGTCTAGGGCGGTTTTGCACCTCTCACCTACATCAGTCTCTGGTAAGGAGCATGGGGTGACCCATGGAGCCAGCAGCAGAGGCCGTGTGCGGGAGGGAAGATCACCCAAACTGTCAGGACAGGAGAAGGGCCCGGGGACCACTGTGTCTGCATCTAGCTAGCCACAGGAAAGCTGCAGAAGAGGAGCTACAGCTTTGGGATCTGGGGGACATGGTGGTACAGAAGGAGACTGACAGTTTTGAATGAGTTGGTGAGTTGGCTTCATTCAGCCGGTGAAGAAATGAGGAAGGGAATCTCGCATTGTTTTCTTCTCTTTCTTTTCCACCTTCTCCTCCCTTCTCCTCCTTTTGTTCCTCCTCCTTCTCCTTCCTCTTCCTCTCTGTTTTCTCCTCCACCCTTCCCCTTTTTTTTTTTTTTTTTTTTTTTTTTTGAGACAGGTTCTCACTATGCAGTTCAGGCTGGCCTTGAACTCACCATATAGCCCAAGATGGCCTCAAATGTGCACCAATCCTCCTGCCTCAGCCTCCGGAGTGCTAAGATTCCAGGTGTGCACCAACATACCTGGTTGTCTACTTGAGTTTTATTGTCCTTGGATGAGACTCTCGTGACAAGCTTGGGCTTCACCAAGGACCCCATGGCCTGGCTCCTCGTGCTCCCAGCCTGTCTTCTGCAGAGCAGGGCCTTAAACACACCATCACTGTAGCTGGAAAGCCAAGACTCCCTGCCTCCCCCCAGCACCCTGGAAACTCTTTGTCCCCTTCCTGAGAAGCACCCCCAAAACGTTACCCTCAACATCCTGTTTTCCTTGTTACTTCCAATCTGGGTAATTAAACTCAACACCTCCAGGGTGATTAAAAATTAATTTGGCATTCAACAGGTCCGGAAATGAAATTCAGTGGGAAACACACTTGGCAAGCCTGGCTAGAAGTAATTAGAAAAGAGTCCTGCTGGGGGAACAGAGGTAAGGAGGGCATTGTGGCAGCCACAGAGGGTACAGAGGGGAGGTGAGTGCCGGGATTGCACAGTCACAAGCTGCTTCCCCCTCTGTTCATTTACTCTTATTCATCGGTTGGTGGGATTACACTTGGCATGGCCAAAGCAGTCAGTTGAAAATGTGGGTTTTTAGCTCCTGGTCAATAAGGATTTGTAGGCACCACTTCTGCCCAGCTTGCTTGTGTTTCCACTCTGTGTCCTGTGCTGCTCCCCAGCTCCCCCCTAGCAGCTGCTGCCGCCCTTCCTCTCTTCAGCCTTCTGATCACAGCAGGCTCCTCCTGGCCCCTTCCGTACCTGGTGCCATGCCAGCACCTCCTGGCCTCCTACCCCATGCCAGTCCAGCCTATGCTGGTCCTTTCCTTGCTTTGCTTTTAACCACTGTCCTTCAAAGGCGGGCCCTGCTGCAGGTCAGCTGCCCCAGGGGTCTTCTGTACCCCTTGTCTCCCAGGCAACAGTCCCACTGCTTGAGACAGTCAACCTGGAGGCTGATATTCCAGGATGCTACAAAAGGGCATTTCCTCTTCTCATCTTGGAAACCACCAGGGGACTTCACACCTCCCCTACCATCCAACTCTCCCATCTGGTAGCTTTGGATACCATGGGCAGCAGGATATATTGAGTTAACCCTTGAGGGCCAGGACATCTTTTTTTAAGGAGTTTATGAGTGGGGGAGGAGGGGTGTATTTTGCTCAAGATGATCCTTGTCTCTTTCTGCAACCAGGTTTAAGGGAAAACAGTTCTTTTCCTCTTGGCCTTCCAGGCCTATGCTGTCCAATAGGATCACCACTACCCGCAAGAGGCTATTGCATTTAAATTCATTAAAACTGAATAAAATTAGCTGCTTTTCACCCAGTGAGCTAGGGTGCTCCCCTGGGCAGGGCACACTTCCATTGTCACAGACAGGTCTGTCGGATTGCACTGCACTAGAACGTAAGCCTCAAGAGGATCAGCTTGGGAGTCAGATATAGTCTGTGGCTCTGGACAGCTCAGTTAGCTTCCTGAAGCCTCTCTGGGTTCTCCACCAATAGCAGCCGCTCTCCTGATGAGTCAGGAGCTCGCAGAGGCTCAGCACAGAGGCTAAAAGGTGGAAGTTCTGCGCTCTTAGAGGAGAGGCTATGGCTTAGAGAAGTTGGGTCAGAGGATACCGAGGACAGAGGAGACAGGGCACGGATTCCCGCTCCATCACTGCCCATGAGCCAAGTATGCAGCTGTGAGCCACACAGGCTAACATGCTAAAGATATAAGTCAGTGTAAAATCAGGATGAAACAAAACTGCAGCATGGATTTTTCTCTAGCGCCTGGGATCCAGCACCAAACTGCCTGGGGAGCAGCTCCAGCTAGATGCCTCTGAAGGTGCCAACTCAAGAATCCCCAGAGGAAAGGGTGCATTTTGTTCCCCACAGCCACCTGCTCCTCCTGCGTCTCCTACCTTATAAACATCACCTGGTTGTCACAAAGCTGGAAAGCCTTCTTACTTGGTGTCTTAGTTACTTTTTTTCATTGCTGAGAGAAAATATATGAGACCCAAAGTTAAAGGGGAAGTTTTATTTTTGGCTCACAGTTTGTACATAGTTGGCTGACTTCAAGGCAGTACTGCATGGCAGAGGGGCACCACAGAGAAGAAGCGGTCCATGGCAGAGCACACAGGAGGCAACAGCACAGCAAACAGCAGCAGCAAGTAACCAGCCTGCCTTTCTCTTTTATCCTATTCTGGCTACCAGCCTTTTGGGTGGTGACACCCAGAAGTATGCTAATTCCAACCAGTGAGCCAATCTAATACCATACACCCTTAAGTCTCAGTATCTCACACTCTAGATCCAGCCAACTCTGAAAAGCCCCACCTGTGAGTGCATGAGGCTTTGGAGGGGGCCATCTAGATATTATCCATAATACTTGGTCCCCTGAATTTATATCTGATATTGTAGTTTGAGATATCACCATTTCACAGACAAGGAAACTTACTGGAGGAGTCAAGCTCTTCAACAGTACCCTGTGCTGCCTTAAGCCACCAACAAAGCCTCCTCAAATCTGCTTCCTTCTCTCCAGTCCTATGACTAGCATGCTATTCTGGTCATCCAGCCTACTGCCTGGATTGCAGTGGCAGTCCGCTCACTAGTAGCCAGGTGTCCAGAAGTCCCCCTTTTTTGTCCTTCCCCTAGGTGAAGTCTTTATAAGCTGAATGTCTGATGTCATTGCTTCCCTGGTGACAATTCTCCAAAAAAATCTTTTTTTTTTTTTTTTTTTTGGTACCGGGGATCGAACTCAGGACCTCACACTTTCCAGGTGCTTATGCAGCTGAGCAAAACCCCCAGCCCACCCCCCCAAAAAATCTTGTTCATCACTTTGTGTCTGGAGCCTGACTATTATGGTTTCTGCTTAGATGTCCCCACAAAGCCTCATGCAGTCACGAGGGAGGGGCAGATTTTCAGAGGTACCTCAATCTATCATTGATTTGTAGTACAATGCTAAGATTAAAGATACCAGAATTAAGGGTGAGTGATTGCTGACTCAGTCCATTGATTGGATCAGATTGGCACCACTCTAATTTCCATAGATTGGATACAATATAACGGACGAAAAGAGGCTTGTCTCACACTTGCCTTGCTTGCTTTTGCTGTCTTCCACTGCCAGGAACTGTCGCCCTCTGCCATGTGCCACCGTGCCTCAGGGGCAGCCAATTATAAACTGAAACTTTACTAACGGTAAACTAAATGAACTTTTCCTCCCTTAACTTGTGAGTGTTGAGTATTTTGTCTCAGCAATGAGAAAAGTAACTAAGGCACTGACACATAATCAATGAACTCTGCATGCATGGCTGAATGAATGTATGAATCTTCTAAAATAGCCCGATCCAAAGGACTGTCAGGACTGTGTGACTGAAATGCTTTGGGAACACCCAGGCTCTGCATGAGGCCACCTGGGCACAACCTCTGAGCAGAGCAATGGCTGAGATATTGTAGCTAAGAGCATGCGGGCCAACAAGCTATATTTGTTGTATCTCCAGAAAGAGCAGGTCAGAGAGGATGGAGGAGAGGGATTGGTCTACAGGGGTCCAGGGAGGGAATTCCAGCATGTGGCACAAGGACGTCTGGACCATGTGCCTAAGCTGTGGCTGCACAGCCTCCAGGGAATGAAGAAATCAATGCACTGGATGGTTCCACCACCTTTGCCACGGAAGGAAGAAATTCCAGGTGAGAGCCTGGTCTTCAGACTTTGGTTAATGGCAACCAGGTTCAAGGTGGAAGTCACCTCTGGGACTCTCCATCTAGTTTCCTCTTCTGGGGAACTGAGGAAGATACCCTGAGACATGGGATAATTTCTATGTCTTTCCCACCACCTTCAGCCCCACTTAAGAGCTTTCCAGGGCAGCAGCAATAGCTTGTGAGCCCTTAGACAGGTCATTTCACTACTCTGTGCTTCAACTTCCTCCTTAGAATATTGGGTTTGGACCTGATGACTCCTGTTTTAGTCTGTTTCAGTTGCTATCACAAACAACCTGAGACCAGCTGATTTATAAAGAACAGCAGTATATTTGGCTCAGGGTCTTGGGGGCTGGGAAGTCTAAGAACATGGCACCAACATATGCTTAGCATCTGGCATGGTAGAGGCCACCAGTGATGAGAGAGTGCAAGCTTGCCTGCTCCAGTTCCTTCCTCTTATAAAGTTGCTAAGGTCAGACCAGGAACCCCACTCTCATGACCACTAATCCACAGAGTCCATCTCCCTGGACACTGGAGCTGGAGTCATTGCACTTTTTTGATGCAGATAAACTTTAGCATTCATAAGAGAAGACAGAAGCAACGCTTAGAAAGAAGAAAAATACTTATGACATTTTTTGAGTGTCACATCCAACCTTATTTAGAATAAAAGCATCTGGTTTGGTGGCTATTTGACCCAAAAAGTTTCATTTTTTTTTTCCTTAAGCCTGTTTGGGATGGAGGTTGTTTCTTTGTAAAGTGGATTTTGCTACATAATCCAGGCTGACATTACACTCCTGCTCTGCCTCCCGAGTGCAGAGATTAAAGCAGGTACTGCCATGACTGCCTGGGATGAAGCTATCTGTCACCTGCAATCAAAAATGCCCTCTTTACCAAGTATAATGATGCACACCTGTCACCCCAGCCCTTGGGAGGCTGCAGAGGATCACTGTGAGTTCAAGACTACTCTGAGCTACATAGTGAGACCCTGTCTCCAAAAAAAAAAAGTGTCCTCCCTGATGCAGAAGGTGTTCTGGAGGCCATGGAAGGAAAGAGACCCTGAATAATTGATGGAATCCGGGAGGAGGAGAACAGGAACATTCCAAGCAGAGAAGCAGTCCAAGGAGACCCAGCATCAATGGCTGGCTCTGCACCCCAGCTGCCTCCTGACTCTTGTCCCCGCGTGAGTCATAGTGGCCTTTTCAATCAAACGAGCTTAGTGGTGTCAGCCTCCCAGGTCTGTGGAGCTGGAGAAGCACAGTCAGTGTCAGTTCTTTGCCCGAGATCGCTCTAGATGAACGAGCTGATGTCTATACTGGAGCCCGAAGTGGAATAGGAAGTGGATGCGGTGTGGAGAGGCTTACGGGTCAGGAGGTTGGCCTTTTTTTATCTCTGGTTCTCTCAGAACCTGTAGATCTTCCATTGTTTCCTGATAAGCACATGGAAGTACCCTGTTCCCAGTCAGGGCCAGCAGCACAGGAGCTGTGACTGTCAGGCTCACTCCAAACCTTGCTTTCCCCCCCACCACACCGGTCCCTGCAGAGAGGCCCCGTGCTGGCAGGGATGCGGGCCATCTCCGTGAGAGGAAGGTCCAGCTGCTGGTCAACAAGGAAAGGACCATCTCCATCCAGGACCCATGCAGTCACAGGTGTACTAAGAGGCCAAGCATGGCCTCCCCCAGCCAGCTGTTGGAGATGCGGTTGGACAGATCAGACCCTGCAGGAGGGGAAACTCGGGATTTGGGGAGCAGATGATTCTGAGGAGGCCTGGCTCATTCTCGAAACACACTGTGCTTGCCCTATGGGCCCTGCAATGTGGCTCTGGGAGAAAGGTCAGCAGGAAGTGCGGCTGGACGCTGGGGAAACACCCCAGTGTGGAGGAGGAGGACCCCGCTGCCCCTGTCCCTGTCCTCTGATTGGTGTGACCTGCAGGAGGAGGCTGTTCTGCAGAGGCTGCGGATAGGCTGTGATTGCTGGGTGCTTCTTCTCCTTTTGGCCTTCCTGCTGCTACTTATGTGTGACCAGTGTGACCTGAAAGGCCAAGGCCAGCCTGAGGGGCTTCCTCAGACTCCCTACTCCCTGGCTGACAGCCACCTCAGGACCTGCGAGACACCAATGCCACAGGGCACATCCGGGCTTTTCTGAAACTGCCAGCGCCTCTGGGTCACTGGTCCTGGTCTTATGTGTGGGCTTGAGGCCTTACAGACCAACAGGCCTGGCCCAGGGTGGTGCTTCAGCCTCTCCCCAGGGCACTGTCCATGCAGCTCCAGGGCAGGAAAGGCTCCTGCCTACAGAGAGGAGTACACTGAAGCCAAGAAGGGGCTGGCTCACCCGGAATCCGCACTCATGGCCCTCAGGGAGAGGTTCTTCCCTTCCCTGCCAGTAAAGTTCCCCAAACAGTGTGGGTGCTGCTCCTTTTGCAGAGACCTGGTAGGCTCCCCACTCTTCCCCTTCCCCAGATACCTTGGACATCCCTGGGTCCCCCAGAGTGTGGGGGGCTTAGGGGCCCCGCCTGCTAGCATCCCTTTCCTCTGACTCCTTGCTCAGAGCAGCTGAGGCAAGGACCTTGTCTCTCTCCATTGTCTGCTTAGGTGACACCTCAAGCCACCAACATGGCTATGGCCGAAATCACCAC